GCTGATTTTCGAACTTGACCTGCGTATTATGAATATTCATCAGTTCTGTAAGTTTCAAGTCAAAAGGTAAAATGGTTTTCCACTTATCGTGTTATCGGTGCTGCATATATGCTGAAAAAAGTGAAAAAACAGCATAAATTCCCTAAAAGTGACCCGATCATGCTGATTTTCGAACTTGACCTGCGTATTATGAATATTCATCAGTTCTGTAAGTTTCAAGTCAAAAGGTAAAAGGTTTTCCACTTATCGTGTTATCGGTGCTGCATATATGCTGAAAAAAGTGAAAAAAACAGCATAAATTCCCTAAAAGTGACCCGATCATGCTGATTTTCGAACTTGACCTGCGTATTATGAATATTCATCAGTTCTGCAAGTTTCAAGTCAAAAGGTAAAATGGTTTTCCACTTATCATGTTATCGGTAAAAGTGCACGGCGACGACGGCGACGACAGACGCAGATGATGGCTATATGTACAGACACATCTGTGTCTGTACATAAAAAGACGTGTTCTGTCATTTTTTTCACTCACTCTTGTTCAATCTGTCGCAGTTTTTGTTCCGCTTGAGCACGCGCCATGTTGTTTGGCCATGGTTGCTGCTGCTGCTGCTGTTTGGTCATGTTAACATGCTGTGACATGTTCACTACATCGGCCAGACGAGCCTTGTGTTGCTGGCTTTGCATGTGTTTGGTAAATTTCTGGAATAATTAAATCAAAAGGTTTGTTAATTTTCCATTTAACAGCTTTAAAAGACAGTAAATGAGTGCTCACAAGTCTCAGTATGTTCCATCAGGTTCGGAATCAAAACCCTTAAATTACTCAAGAGAGTTATATGGAAATAAATACATATGCACACGTCTTAACATTTCTTCCTTTAACAGAACTGTGATAAAATTGACCACTATACACTGGTAATTTACAGGCCTGGGCTGTTAATACAAGTCCTGGCACATATTACCTCCTGGTTCTGGCATGGCACTCCGCACACATGGCAATGAAACTTTCCCTGCCCCTCTGACTGAAACACAGAACATCAACAAAAATTAAGTAAATTCTACAAGAACTTCAACATATACTCCCTCCCCTGTAATTTTCAATGCTACAACTAAAATACTTCTACGAATACAAATTTTTTTATTTTTTTTTTTTGCCAAGAAATATATAGTAAGAATGCTGCTGTTAATTTTCTTTCCAATGTTATATAACTTTTTGAGTTTATTCTGTTACCTAATAGAGAAACAAAGGCAAAATATTACCTCTTTGGCAAAGGAAAAAAAAAAAAAAAAAAAAAAAAAAAAAAACTTGGTGCCTCTAATCAACTCACCTTACTGTCCTTGGCTGCCTCTCTGTTAGGGATGGTCACTTTGAGATCTCCTGCTGCACTGACCTCTCTCTTACTCAACTGACCGCTATGACGTCTCTTATCTCCAGCACGGGGTTGGTCCTCCTATAAAACACAAACAAAACAGCACTGAATATACTGGGAGAACTGCAATGGTGGCAGTCAAATTAAAAAAATTCATATCGGGTTACTTGTTCACATTTACTTCTCACTTTTGAGGCTGAACTCTAAGTAATGACCCCTGTTTTATTTCAGATAAAATGTGACACAAACAAATCCAACAGGTGACAAGATGGTTGAAAAAAAATTTTTTTCAAGAAGGCGTCAAAGTAAAATTATACACTTACATCTTCAGTTGGTTCAGCTGGGTCGTACACATCCGCAGATTCCTTGGCCGATTTCCCTAAAAGAGTTCAAAATTTATATCAGTATAACATCTTTGTTAAAAGTTTGCACTGAATCATGTGTTGCCCTCATTGATGCACTCCTGCAACCTGAAATGTTCCAAATAAATAATACTTAAAAAAAAAAAAAAAGAGAGAAAAGAAGAAAATACCGTAAAGGTGTGATGAAAGGACTTGTGTAGTCAAGAGGTTCAGACACACCTTGTTGACAATGCTATCAATGCATCAGGAAACTGAGGAAGAGGACAAGAATTGCAAGAAAAGAAGAGAAATTCGAGAAATTGGTTTGAGAGTAGAAAGAGAGAGGCTATCAGAGAAAAAAAAGAAAACATTTGGTATATCCCCTGAAATAAACATAAGCTCAGCACAAGCTTTGAACTATAGTCTAACTCAGTGCTGATTCTTAAAAGTAACATTTCGAAATAAAAGGCAAAGGTGTAGTTTATACAATCATAAAAATCTAAACACTACAAAATTATAGAGGGAGCCTAAAATAAAACATTCAGGTAGTTGGGAAGGACAACATACCCAGTTCCAACTAACATCCCAGAACTAGAAAATGTAGAAGCTTGACTTGTACAGATGGTAGAATATCACAAAATGCTTTTTTATGATCATCCCAAAGGCAATTTTATTGTGACCATCAGAAAAATCTTCAAAAGTTATGAAATATCTAAGGGGAAGTAGTATGCAAGTACAAAAAGCGTTTGAAGCACGTTACCAGTGTAATGTCCGACTCTGTTCACCATCTTCTGATTAAAATTGGACCAGCTTTAAAAAAATATTAGAAGATGTAATACACTGGACCAATAAAACAAGAACAACTTGTCAAAGCTTGTTGCTAGCTAGTCACAGGCCAGATAAGAAGAGCAATTGTCAAATATTTTATGCTTTCTGATTTGTTCCTTTCTAGGAGGTGTATCTACAGAAAAACATGGATAAACATGTAATAACCATTCACTTAACGTAAGAAGATGCATAAGTACTTTTTCGGGCAGGGTGTTCCAAAAATGGGGAAAAAAAATACATTGCTGAAGATAAATTAAGTACAATCGGGTCATCGGACAGAGAGAGATGCCAGAAACAATTACAACTGAAGAAAATACAAGTAGGTGTGTGTATGTATTCCCTTTTGGCTCTTCTAGTCCGGTTGCTTAGGGCAAAAAAATGGCCAAATCGTGACACGGCGGATAAAAGCACCAAATTTTGCATGTGGGTACCTTTTGACATACTAAATCAAATTAGAGCTGTAGCCCACGGAAAAAATTTACCGTTTGGCCAAAAAATCCAAAATGGCCGCCAATTTGTGAAATTCTGTAGAAATATATACAAACCTATGTTGATTTTTATCAAATTAAGTATTTTCTCAATGTTTTCCACATCCTTATTACCCATATTATGCATATGTGTCAGGTAACAAAGTAGTGTCCTTGGACTTTTTGAAAAATCCAAGATGGCCGCCATATGGCATAGGAATACTAGATCTTGTACACAGGTTTTCAACTAACTAATGTCAACTAGGAAGATGCATTGCCCACTATCTAATTGTTTTTTATTACACAAATAATATATTTGTGGTGAGTAACTAACCTTTATTCTCAGGCATTTCGAGTAAAATCCAAGATGGCCGCCATATCAAAGGAATACTAGTGTACACATAGGGCTTCTTCTGCCATGGAGATATAATATTAATTGATAAATTTGGTTTGTTTCTGAGTATTTTCCACATCTTTTTAATTCACATAAGATATATATATATGATGAGAATGTTATGTGTATCCTTTTTGAAAAGAAAACAAAACAAAATGGCTGCCATTAGCCATAGAAGGTGGGGTTCAGTTAATACCTGCGGGAGATAGGCTTACATATAAAATGAAGCTGATTTCAGTTGTTATTCTGTTTTTTTATTATTATTATCCCATGATACATATCTGTTAGGTAATTAATGTCCATATTTTATCATTTTGGGGAAATCCAAGATGGCCTTCTTTTCCCCATAGGAAAACTGGTGCATTAGATTTTATAGGCACTTCTAAGGCAAATGAGGGTAATCATGATATTTTGTCAAAATACTTAAGGGTATACACGTTACCCACCAGATAGATATCTAAAAGTCCAAAAAGAATGTGGGAAATACCGAGAAACAAAATTAATTTTACATTGAACCCAATGTCTCTCTGGCGGTAGTTGAATGTACTATTCCTATTGTGAATTGCAGCAATCTTGAATTTTCTCAAATGCGCAAGATGCACACTTGCTACACACCAGATTTATATAGAGTAAGATTAATAAGGATGTCAACATGTTTGAACATCAAACAGCTTTATTTCATGTTGAAATCAATGCCTGAACTGTTCCATTAATTGACACCTATTTTCATTTGAATGATATATTCCTATGACAACTGGCAGCTATTTTGGGTTTTCTCCAAATAATACCCAAGGATACATACACTTTCTACACACACGAAGTCTTTCATAAGGATAAATAGGATATGAAAAACATTTTAAAATGATGTAAAGTTAACTGCAATAAACCATATGCCTCTCTAGCAGCAATTGAAACCCACCCATTTGTATTCCTATGTCAAATTGTAGCTATCTTGGATTTTCTCAGAATATCCAAGGTTGTACACTATTTACCCACCAGATACATATCATAGGACTATTAAGGATGGGCAAAACTTGATAAGCAAACACAATTTCACCCTGGTAGTAGATGAAAAGCCATGGATGTGCAGTTGTAATTCCAGTAGTATTCCTATGGCCAATGACGGCCATCTTGGATTTTCTCAAAATGATCAAATATGCACATTTATTACCTGCTAGATATGTATCACAGTGTAATAATTATGTGTAAAACACTAAAAAAATAAACTGAATTTGATAGTGAATTAGCTGGCATTAGTTCCAACCCTTTGTAACACTAGAAGTGTTCCTATGACATATGGCGGCCATCTTGGATTTTCTCAAAATGCCCAGGAATACAAGTTAGTTACTCACCACATACATATTGTGTGGGTGGAAAGGATGTGGAAAACACCCAGAAACAAACTTAATTTGATAGTGGAAAATTAATCTTTCCAGTTGCCATTAGTTGAATCCCCCGTATACTAGAATTCCTGTGGCACATGGCAGCCATCTTGGATTTTCCGAAATGCCCAAGAACACTTCGCAGTTACTCACCACAAACATATTATGTGGGTGACAAAAATCTGAGAAACAGACTTAATTTGATAGTGGACAACGTATCTGTCTATAGCTGGTATTAGTTGTGCACTAGTATTCCTATGGCTGTTTCTATGGCATATGACAGCCATCTTGGATTTTTTCAAAAAGTCCAAGGGAACTTGTTTGCTATCTGACATATATGAATAAAATGGGTAATAAGGGTGTGGAAAACTCTGAGAAAATAATTTATTTGATAAAAATCAACATAGGTATGTACACATTTCTATAGAATTCCATAAATTGGCGGCCATTTTGGATTTTTTGCCAAACGGTAATTTTTTTCCGTGGGCTACGGCTCTAATTTGATTTAGTATGTCAAAAGGTACCCACATGCAAAATTTAGTGCTTTTATCCGCCGTGTCACGATTTTTTCCTTAAGCCACCGGACTATTCATAGTTTACCTGTCTAACCAATAACACAGAGAACAGGAGCACAAGGCTTGCAATGTAAAAGCGGCAGTCTATATAACAAATGGGTTATGCCAATCGGTAAGCAACAAGTTTTAAGTGTTAAGAAAAAACAAGGCAGCAAAGCTGTCAAATGTACAGACAAAAAGCAGGAAATAACAAAATAGGCTACTGTCAATTCTGATGCAAAAGTACATTATGTTAAACTGCAAATTCAACATCAAATTTTAATTATGCTCAACAGGTAATACCAATGTAAGCTTCAGGCCCATNACCACTCCTGTGAGTTTCATGACAACAGGCCTATCGGTTTACCTTGAAATGTGTTAACAGTGTTGCATATATGCTAAAAAGTGAAAAAACAGCATAACTACTAAAATAGTGGCCCGATCATGCCGATTTTCGAACTTGACCTGCGTTTTATGAATATTAGTCAGCGCTGTAAATATAAAGCCAAAAAGTAAAACTGTCTTCCACTTATGGTGTTAACGCTGAAAGTGCACGGCGACGGCGACAGCGACGGCGACATGATCGGCGACGGCGACGACAGACGCAGGTGATGGCAATATGTACAGACACATCTGTGTCTGTACATAAAAATTCAAATAAGAAGAAGACTACAAAGAGCCTGTGTGGTGCATATCTAGTGTATGTGTCTCTGGCACTGTGACAGCATAGAAAAGTAGCAACAGCCACAAGAACCTCTTGTGCACCCGTTTTTTACCTTCTGACCATCTTGATTTACGTTGTCCAGAAGAGTCCCTGTGCTGGCTATCATGGCGTCTCGTCTGCGAGCCTGGGAATTGCTGGCGAGATTGCCCCTGAGACGGAGATGATAAAATGGACATAAAGAATCGAGGCAAAGAATAGAGCACATAAACAATGCACTGTGCAAAGTAATGACCCTGCATTGTTTTCAATTAGAAGCTAATTAATAAACAGGACGATTGCTGGGAAGCTTATGCTCACATGACCTAATCATCAAGGAGATAAAAACATTGCATTTGAAGTATTATTATACAATGTACTGGTGTGTCTAAGAGAGAAGATTTTTTTTACTTCTTTTGAGGATGGCAAAAACATATTACACACTATACCACTCCCAGCAAATCTGGAGTCCACTAGAGCAACTTGATACTTAAAACAAACAAGTCCATATCACTTTCTGTGCTCATCTTTTCCTAAAAAGGTAAAGACCACAGTTGGGATGGGGTGGGGGGTGGGGGGTGGGGTGGGGGGGGAGGGGAACGGGGGACACAAAGATATCATCCGTCCCACTTTTCTTGACAAATATAAAACTAAGAGCACATGAAGGCAATTTTACTGTTATATTTAGGGGGCAGGGATGGTAAAATGGTCTTTTGTTTCATCATGTTTTTAAATGCTTTTTATACTCTCTATCTTTCACATACACAGACACAACACACACACACATACCCACACACCTTTTTGGGTGGTGGGGGGTGGGCGCAGAGTGGGAAGGAGAAAAGACAAAGGGAATCTTTGGAGCAAGTAGAAATTGTTTCATCTTCATTATGAGTTAGGCAAGTCTGAAAACACTTAACTGGCTATGTCTTTGGTGTTCAAATTAAAGGCAGTAAGAAGTTTGTCAAAAAATTATCTCATCTTAATATAATGTAACTGATCTCCTCAACACTGTTTTTGCATGCTCAGAATGGTCTTACAGGGGTTTGGGAAGGGGAAAAGAATCCAGGGTTTGTTTTGGGGAGGGGGGGGGGGGTAACAAACCTGAAATCCTGAAAACTTCTTCATCAAGAAGGAAAATAAACACCAGGTGGTTGTAAAAATACTGCTTATTGAAAACCATCAGACTTGGACAAATGTAAAAAATAATAAGTGTTTAAAATATAAAAACCTGTAATTCAAGAGAGCATGCAATTCATACAAAAGAGCACACACAACATCAGGGTAAAGATTTGAAAAATAAGGGCAGTGGCTGATTATTTTTTTCTCGAAATGAAGGAATGCAGGATAAACAGATTTGGCAATTCTAAAACGGCCCTTAGTTGGTGAAAGCTAGTATTTCTTCAATTGCCCATGAGCTTACAGAGGGATTTACGAATGTATTTACTGGGCAAGGCATCCAAGTTGTATATCTTCCACCTTACATGGTGGCTAGTAAGTCTTTCATAAACCTCTAGACGATCAAGAAAAAGGTACAAAACTGGATGACTGGATGTGAAATTTCCCACTTCCTAAGGAAAATCAATTATCTAACAAGTAAATACCAACCTCTTAGGAAAAAGGGTGTTTAGAAACCGGTGTCAAGGGATTAATTCTCCGTAAAAAAAAGAAGTGAACAATTAAAGAAAAACAATTTGGAGATTGAATTTATATCATATTTTAGTGAGATAAAAAAAGAAGTATGAGCATTTTAAAGAATCAACATCCATTGACTTCAAGAGCTGATGCATGTGTTTAGTATTAAAAATGTCAGGAACATACTTATTTCTTAACATACTGGTAAAATAAGGCCTCTTAATGCAAAATTAACAGCTAAATTTCTATTAACATTGAACAGTACATGTTCGAGGATAAAATGTTGGTTGAATTCCGCACTAATACTCACCCCAGTGTCCATACGTCGCCTTTTAGGATCTGACGGGGAAGGCAGCAAACTTCTCACTGGCATAGGGGGTGGTCGCAAGGGGGCATTTCCCAGCAGACCACTGTTACCGCCACCCCCAATGTTCCCCCTCATCCCCCCACCCATGCCGGCAGGTCTAGTCTGGTCCAAACTTAGCAAAGACGGAATGTTGTTGGCCTGGTTACCTACAGAGGAAACATCATCATCACTATCTTCTGAATCTCAGGGTCATTTTAGACCACTGATAAAAATGTGGGGAATTTTCTACCTTGGTCACCAGACACAAAGAATATTATGGAGATAGGGAAAGATCGGAAGATCTGCACTACAAGAAATCTACAGTCAGGTCATTCCAATTCTGTGCTGGTCCAACATAAGTCTTTTAATTTCTATTAGTCCATGTTAACATGTGATTTATCAAGTAAAATTTTGTTTTTTCATATAAACCTTGCCAGACCAGAAGACCTGTAATAACAAATATCTTGCAGGTCTTCTGGCATTACAAGCAGTCTGTGTCACTGCCCTTAAAGGGATAATAACTCTTCGTATGAGATCTATATTTCACAATAAAAACATTGTGAATAACTCATAGAAATATAATATATTCTGTTTTACCACAAAAACTGCAGTTATAGCTATTTTTTCTGATATCTGAGCTTGTCTTTAGACCACGTGACCTCCATTGATGGCTATACTCTGTTAAAATCTCTTAAGAGATTTTAACAAAAAACCAAACTTTTTAGAAAAAAAACAGGGACTAACTTTGAATGTAAAAATGGATTCATTAACCATTGGTAAGTATGGGAAAATTGTTTACTCCAGGAAAATTCATTTTTTTGGCCGAAACGAAGAGTTATAATCCCTTTAAATATGAGATCTTGAAAAAGTTACACTTAATGGAACCTTATAGCATGAGCTAGCACAGAAAATAATGACCAAAAATAAATCGAAATTTATTTTGCTTTCAATAATTACATCTTATCATTTCCCACTACAATGGGCTAACAAATATACCAGAGCAAGTACAGATGATTGTAGAAAATCCTTCTTATTTTATTGTGCCCAATATCTTTTCGAATTAGATTCCAGTTTGAACAAGTTATCTTGGTAGAAGCTAGAATTATTAACTTTTGAGTTACTTTAAGTTTATACGTCCACTTTTTCAGAAGTATATTTTAAATCCTAAAATACACTACATATCGAGTTTCAACATTTTAATCTATGACCCTTGTACTCAACATTTTCATCCAAGACCCTTGTACCTACCTCTCTGCCCCATGCCTCCTATCCGTCCCATGCCTCCACCCTGGTTGCCAAAACCACCCATGCCTTGGCCTTGCATTCCTTGCTCTGCAGCCATCCTATTGTTGGTAGCACCTTTGATCAAATTGGCCACTGCCGCCAGCTGTCTGGACACATCATCCCCCATCCTGTTAGCGCCTCCCAACTGACCCATTCCACCTTCACCAAACCTAGCGCTGTTGTCTGGGCTGAGTTGACTCTCTTGGTTAAAGCGGCTCATTCCCACGCCGCCCCCATGACCTTGCATTCCCATTCTGCTCCCAACTTCCTGCTGCATTCTGCGATTGAATCCCTGCCCTCCTCCCATCATGCCTTGCTGTCCCATCCTCCCCTGGGACATGCCCATTCCAGACATCCCCATCTGGGACATCCCCTGTCCCATCATGCCTTGCCCCATCTGATTCCTGGAGCTTTTGTGGCCATAGTCAAAGGTCTGGGCTGTGTTATTATGTCCGTATTCATAGGAGTCTCCGCTGGGAGCATTTCCCAGTATTCCTTGGCCTCTGAACATGGCGTTACTGCCTGAAATAAAATGATGAATATTAAAATTAAAAAAAAAAAAACCAACTGATTTTGCACTTGGCAAAGATAAAGCAAAGAAATGTGGAAAAAAAGTTTAAAACAATAAAAGACCTGGCCCCCGTAACTCAAAAGCATTGTGTATTGCAAATAGCGATATCACATAGAGGCTACAATATTATATGGGACGAGTATGGGCGAGTTATGGAATCGAGACGAGCGCTCGGTTGCAATACGTGATGCTTTCGAGTTACGGGGCCCTGGATTCAAATAAATTGTAATCATTTTTTACTGTCCTGGATGTCTTTCCTGAAACTGGTCAAAATAAGTGACAAAAAAGACAACTATGTTGAGCAGACATGGAAGATGTACTAGTAATCCTGTGGGAGCAATGAAAGAAGTCTGTAAGAATGAGATGTGTAGGCCAGTCATTTGGATATCTTATAGTACAAACCAAACAAATAATCATCTGTTAGTACCACTGTAATTAAAACAAGCTGTGTCCCTTTCCAGCATATCACTGTAATTAAAACAGGCTGTGTTCCTTTCCATCATAAGTGCTCAAAAATATTACTAACATGGAGGCACAACTGTAGATGGCAAATTCACACAAAATATAGATATTGTTGATATTGTTTTGTCAAGCAACAAGACTACGCCCCCCCCCCCCTCCATTTCCTTCTAGAACTCATTATACAGACACAGAGCCAAAACACAGTCTAAGCTGGTTCAAGATCCCTTTTCATTGCTGTAAATCTTATCTTATATGACTTTAAGCCTCATTTGGTGTAATTTATACTCAGTAATCCAACATACAAGGTCGAATATATTCTGTGCTGGCACCATGAATCATTTTAATGACGAATAAATCTTTGTGATTTCCAACGAGTTTAGGATGTCCCAGTTTCACACAAAACAAGATAAGATTTTGTGGCACCCAGTTACAATAAACCAAAAGACCTCTCAGTCATACCACCTTAAAAGTGTGTGATATTGCTGGTTGACAAAAATACAGCCGTCTTGAGACAAGATATTAAAATCTGACACAGGACAACGACCTTGCAAGTCGCAAAGCTTGGTTACACGTGTCTGCATTTCCAATTTCACGAAAGCATAACTGGCTGAAACGCTCAGCAAAACAAACATTTCTATGTCTTGCAATTAATTTTACTTTTAAACTTACGCAAGCACGTTTGCCTTTAAGTTGCAACTACTAAATCAATGCAAGCTTGAACCCAAAAAATTGTGTCAAGTGGACTCACCGCTAATCCAATATGGCCACTGGAATGGCGGTCAACAGGTGCGTCGAGATTAACAAATTTATATTTTTCAGAAATTAGTAATGAATTATGAAAAATATGCTTCTGGTCGGAAAACAGTTCGACAAAAAACAAGTTTTAATTTTAGTATAAGATATTGATTACGAAAATTACACTGAAATGTAATTGATGTTTGACCTAGTTTAGAGACTAGATAGAAACCGTAAACTTTCAAAAGGTGTGCATGTCATGGAGTAGTAGTAGTAGGACGGGTGACGTTTTGTGGGGTTGAAAAACGTCTAAACCTGAACTGCAACATGGATCACCAGCCAAAATCTACTTTAGATGGTCTTCCTAAGCAGTTCATTGCTTCGCTGAGAACTTTATTCGATATTTTAGACGACGATAAAACCGGTTTAGTTCGACTTGGTGAGATAGAAACTCGGTGGAAAGAAGACGGCATCAAAGAGCTGCCGCGGGGAGTAATTGAAGCACTACGCAAGGTAACACCTCCTAACGGCCTGCTCACCTTTGAACGCTTTGTGGCTGGACTCAAGATTGCCCTCTTGCGAAACAGAGGTGACCATAAGGATAAAGAAAACCAGGGTCCACTGAAATCCCAAATAAATGGACCCAGCACAAATAGGAGCAATGGTCTCACGGGCCAGAGACAGATATTCGGAGGTCAGAAATCTCACACTGCCTCACAGAACGAAAGAACTGCTACCGTCCGACCCATAAACAATGCCATGCAACAACGTGCCCTGAGTATGCCTCATCTGGCAGACCCCGGGAAGGGGAGCAACTCGGACATGGATGAACCCACCTCGGCGCCCCTGGGACCAAGGAACGAATGGTTCGTGCAGTCTCACAACCAAATCCCCGAGCAGAACCGTTTCCACCACAACCCTGCATTACCCAAGGATAAGACTGGTATTGTGGCCACTTTGAAAAGCTGGCAGAGAGATAAGATGGGTGGAACGTCAGTTGTACAGTCGGAGTTTCAGGGTAACCGGCCAGTAAGCACCAGTAATTTACCTGAGAGCAGGGGGGCTGTGCCAGGGGCTGCAACAGGTGAGAAACAGCTGTGCAAGAGACTTTTAATACTTATAAAACTACCACTCCACTCAGCTCTGGAATAATAAAAGTTTTCTTTGAAGTTATGGAAGCTAGGTGGAAATAATTGTTTACAATAATAACAGTGTAATATACATTGTAAATCATGTTTTTAATGTATTTTAAACATTTGTTTTGGTACACTTGACAGCTAAGCAATTACTTGTAAACACAATGTTGCAGTTGAAATAAGTATAGATTTGTGTTGTATATTAACTCATTAAAATTTACAGTGAGATCACGTAAATAACAGTCCCATCGTCACTTTAAAAATAGAAATTAAAAAAAAAGCAAAATAACTTTTAAAAAATTCTACATGCTTATTTAATCAGAGCCAGTGCTGTATGATTTTAATTGTAGTTGTAAAACAAACTGTGCCTCATTATATCATTAGAAGTTGTGTCTGTGGAAAGATTGGTAACGGCTGGAATCTTCAAACATGAAAATTGCTTCAGTTATACTTTAGAAAGACTCATCAATCATGGGAACATAAGAAATAAAGCTATAAAAGTCAAAATGACTTCCGTACCTCAAGCTGTTCATTTGTAAAGAAGCTAGAATAAGCTTCTGTGAAATACTGCCACAATAGTTGTTTTCAAATTTAACAATCATAAAAACCGGCACATGAAGTAAAGTGGATCATCTTTTTCTTTCCTTGGCATATATCTGACTTAAAAGTATAACCCTCACCCACTCCCCTATCCAAAATAATGTGATGTTTATGGTATTCAAAAAATTATTATTGTATGATTTTTTTTACCTTATAAAATTTTTAATGTAAAGTCATATTACTACAGGTTATCATCAGTATCAGTATACTCACTCAGTATATTTCTGAGTCTGCCCATGTATATAATAACCCTTATATTATTCTTATTTTGTATTTTACTTTTTTTAGTCAGTTTAGTGCAACACTTGAAAAACTGTGCTATAAAATCTTTATTGTTAAATTAAATAGTGTGACTGAAGTTTATGTACAAAAATGCTACACCCATGAAGGCATATAATTCTAATGGATGATATTATGTGACACACTCAGCTTTCAGCCTAAAGAAGTAGTACTGAACAAATTTTTTGACAGAGGTGGTGAAAATATGTGAAATATGTTATATTTTTCTGAGCTAAATAAGCAAATATTCAGCCTTTGGCTAAATTTTAAGTATGCTAAACAATCACAGGATGACATAAAAGTCGTTTCACTTTTTACATTTATTATAAGGGCAGTTGTGCAAAGACTGTTCCACTATCATCTGGTCCCCTCATAATTAGCCACCATGGCTGATTAATGTGGTGTTATTTCAGCAGGGAGATTGTTCTATGGCACTTTGTTAAAGAACTATACAGGATTAGATCAATACTGCAGTTGGACCCCTAGACTTGATCAATGAAGTTCAATACTTGAATATGGTCTGTGAGGACAACCTGGGGGTAAAAGAGAAAGTTGGATGAAGGGTCAAAAATCTGGTATTTGTTGGGGTTACTTTTATTCTTTTTGGTAAAGAAAAGGACATTATCTTATCCTTTTTTAAAACAAAGACTTTTTATTAAAGCAACAGCCCCTAGTTTCTTTTACTAGTAATTAGTCATTAATTTAAGAATAGAAGTGCAGAAAGAAAAAACTTCCTTGCATTGGAGGAGACAGACAAATAAAAGCACAAGATGACAAGGTTGGATAAATGTCTACTAGCTAGCAAAAACTGTTGGAAGTGGTGAAGTGTCACCCACTGTCCTGTAACAGCTGCTTGTAATGGCTGGACACTTGCTGGACCAGACTCATAAATCTGACAGGCCAGTAAGGAGTGTGTGTGTGCCCTTTTGGGCATGAAAAGATACACTCTTCAAAATATGATCCAGTTTCTATGTTCATTCAACTAATGGGGTAAAAAGTACCACTTTTTTTTTTTTTTTTTAGAAAAAGAACTCCAATTTGAAATGTCTGACTACAGGTCTGTCTGACCATGTTGTTTTCAGTAACAAGACCCTTCAAAGGCAAGTTTTAGATCTTCGGCTGATTACACGCAGTCTATTGAGCAAACAAACTCTGTAGAAACTGATACCTCAACTTTTGCTCTATAATTTCATGGACATGTAAGCTTTCATTTCAATGACAAAAAGGGAGGGAAATTTAGCATTTTTGAAATGAAACCAAACACCATACAGCTATACAAATACAGCCATTATGGGACTTGATTGGCTTGCTTTCATATGAAATCGACATTCTTTTCTCCTGAAATGAACATGTGAAATTGACATTTAAATTTATGTCTGCATGGTCCTGTTACAACAATACTAGTACTTTTATGTGGCCCTTGATGTGTTTTATTTTTTTACACAATGTGAATTGTGTATACAAATTACTGCCTTATTTGTTAAGAATAGAGGTGATCCAGGTACAGGGCCTGAGTCACCGTGAATGGCTTAGAGTAAAATCTTTGTACTGACTTGGAGTAAAATGTTTGCATGTGTGCTGCCTTTATCATCTTCCACTAATTGAAGCCACAGTCAGGCAAGGACTGTGTTTGACCTGCAATAAGTGTCTCTAATTACACTTGTTATACTGATTTAAGGACTCTGTTAAAGATGAAAGAAAATATTTACCCATTAGTAATGTCATTAGATATAAGACAACGTTACTGATAAAAGACTGGATCTGTCTTTAATCTGGTACTCTGACAACTCAAGTTGGGCTGATTTTCTGTCCTAACTAATTCTGTCTGAGCAGTCCTATGTACTTAAACAGAATCAAAATATTAGTGTTCTCCTTGATATTATGATTAATAATTTATAAACCTACATATTTCTAATAAATCTAAATGATTGAGATCACCAAGTACATGTAGCCATTTAACTCATTAATATCAACATTTAGGATACAAATCTTGATCGAAGAACAAAAAAGAAAAAAGAGATAATTGGTATATCTGTGAGGAAGAATAATAGTTTTTTCACTGAAGATTATACCATAAAGGTTTATTTAAATTTTTATGCCCAAGAAACTTAGACTGACCCACAACATCTGTGATCGGATTTTGATAAGATTTAAAGGTTTTCATAATTATCTGCTGGGTGTGTGTGACTTTTTCCAGTTAGGTTGTAAATGGCATCTTTTGTCTGAGGTTATAAGTCCTTAATTGAGTTATCTAGTTATACAGAAAAATGTTATTAGATATGTAGAGAGAATGCTGTGTTATATTATATACATTAGATACTGTTGTACATACTAGTATCCCAAAGGTAGTGTTAAAAAATTCCATGCACACCAGGTTCCACTTTTAACATAAATTCAAAACTTCTGACTCACACACAGATGTAGAACTGTTTGGATAATGCCTAGCTTGCAATGAAAGTGTCTCAGACTCTTCTTCAGATGACCATATTATATAACTGACCATTGTTTTTAATGTTAGGTGAGCACTGTCTGAAATATATCTCTGCAAAATATTGGGATATCTTTTTTTAAGTCTAAATATTGCACTTCAGATTGGCTTAATTCTGGTTATTTTTCTTTGATGTCTTAGCCTATTTTTGGTCTAAATCCGTCCCTATCTGCACGCCTACATGCCCCTGCTGTCAGGTATAATGCCATATTTTTTACCTGTCATGGTATTAAACAATGGTTGCATCCAATACCAGGTCTACTAAACCTGGTTTGAAAGTCACCTGTAAGAAAATGATTTGAATACCATTTTGCTTTTTAAGATTTACTTCAAGGTGGGAAGCCTTCCAGTATGTTATTGAATATAATATATATATATGTCTGTGAAGGAAGATATGCTTTCAGTGGTATTGTTTTGTAAATGTTTATAAGCAAGGTATTCTATTCTAATTGGTATAAATTTTTTCATAAAATTGCAATTCTAACTTTCAGCATAGACAACTATTTAGGATGGACAGAAATGGGAATTGCTAACTAGTATGAATTTCATTTCCTTATTGCAGTAAACTCGGCCTTAAAGCCATATTTAATAATTTCCATTCTTTGTGCTAATTTGCGAAATTGCCTTTCACTTCCATTTTCATTTATAAAACCAAAATACATATTAAAATTAAATTAAAAATTAAATTAAAATTAATGTAGCACTGGGCAAAATCTTTATAGGCTTTTGTGACTTAACTTGGGTTGAATTCAGTTCGCTTACTGATGTTCCCCAAACAAATGTCCCATAAAGATGCCTTGGACCTGTTGTCTGTTGTTTACGGAGGGGTAAGGCCCACTGACCCTTGGTGACTGAGCACAAGCCATTTCTTACACAGCAGACAAATCAAAAGATTCCGCCTCTTCCACCTTGGATTGTCATTTTGGTTTGCACTACTATTAAGATTGATATCTTTTTAAAGGAAGAGGGAGAGGGGTGGCTTCAATAACTTTTGAGAACCAAGTACAGTACTAGTAATAGTACTCTCATGGGTGCATGAGATATAGTTATAAAAACTATGGTACACCAATTTGAAATGTTTCATTATTCTAAATTATTGTTTTGATAAAGAATAGTGTTACTAGACAAAATTCATGTAGCAGTTGTGAAATCTGTCTGTCCTCAGAAAAGTATTTTTGTTTTTTCAAAATTGTTTTCAGTTTTTATCGTACAAATTTTCAGCTCTAAAGACATTTTTAAAGTTTGTTTTAGATATAGTTAACAACTTCATTTTATTGAAAAAGAATAGCCAAGAATAAATTGTGTTTGAGTCAGGAAAGTGTAATAGGCACTGCACTCTATTTGACAGTGTATTTTCTGAATGCCAACTCAGTGACCTTAGCGATCAACAGGGGTCAAGGGTCAATGATCAATCCCAGATAGGTGAATTCGGCATACCTGCCAATTACTGGACTACCTGTTGTTTATGTGTTGTCTGGACACTTAGCTTATCAATTGTGTGAAAAGACCATCGACTGGGGCTTATAAAGTCCACTAGAAAGATAGACTGTTGAATTGTATAGTCAGAAGTTGGGTTGCTTGGCTTGACTGATCTAGCCTCCACACAAATTGAGCAAAATACTACAGTACTATTTAGTAAAGAAAAATGAAGGATATGTAGATATTATCATCCTAACTTTTTATATGGGGGTAAACTTCTTATAATTGTTAAAAACTATTTAAAATAAGCTGACATACTGATAGCACTGGGCGGGTGATGAATGAGAGAGCAATTTCTGGAAAAATAAGAAGTTTTGACGTACCAAATTACCAACACTTTATTTGTTAAGTTTGTGACATATAATACAGGAACATCTCATCATTACACACACACTTGCATGCACACACAAAAGATAAAAAATTAACAAAGAAAAGTGTACAGACAGGTGGGCAGACTTAAAATGTGAAACGTGTGACATGCTAGTTATCATTCATTTACTATTTCACACATAGCAGAGACAATCTTATTTCCAGCAAAAATGAATAAAACAAATTAACTATGGAATAGATCAAGTTACAGTCAGGAGAATAGAAAAATTTTCAAAATTGATTAATGGATAGATTATATTATAACCAATCGGACAAAATGAAAAAGATAAATGTCAGGCCTACCCAACTACCAGACTCGGCACCGAATGATCCAGAATTCACCGGTAGATCAGACCACACTACCCGTTTTCAAGGTGTATATCAGATCGCATTACACAGTATCATACCCTGAACAAATTTTGACTGGTGATGCAATGCTTTTCAACCCCGCTGTGAATCGTCACTATCACATCGCGTACTAGGCAAGAGCGGTGTCGCGTCTGTGTAATGCGATCTGATACACACCTTGAAAACGGGTAGTGTGGTCCGATTTACCGGTGAATTCTGGATCATTCGGTGCCGAGTCTGGTAGTTGGGTAGGCCTGAATGTGAAAAAGAAAGTTTGGTCTCTGGGATGGAGGGTGTTGTCTTGCTCACTGGACATACTGGACATCAAGGAGTGACATGTGACTGTCACCTCAGTGAAGGTTCTACTCACTGGAGTAAACGTGCCACCGGTGTATTTCACTTCTGGAAACTTTTTTATTTATCGGTTTTTTATTTATTTTTACTTTTTACGAAATAATGCTCATAAAGTGAACAGTTTCATCTTCTTTGAATTAAAAAAAAACACGTGACTTGTCATGATTTTTTTCTTCTTCAACTTAAAATTATTTTAGAAAATTGAAGGGATTAATCATTCAGAATGTGTAATAGTATGGATTACGTCTGTGTATCCCCCTCATGTGGACAGATGCTACCATTTACCAGTATCAGCTGGACATACCACAAACGCCTTTACTGCTCGGTCACATGAAAGAACAAATGTGCCAGTGACAATATGTACATATATTTATATGTGTGTGTGACAGTGTTTTTGCCAGTAAGCATTATTTCATGCTGACTTTATTCAAAAGAAAAAGAGCAAAGGTGACACAAATTATCGTCATTTCCACATATGCTGTATGTTTTTCAAAATCATCAGCAAGGGTTCTGCGACTCGGCAGCAATCTATGGGTCAGATTGGTGAACGTTGTCAGGCATCTTCAGTCACTGACCCGACTGCCTATAGCTGCCACATTCAGGTGTGGAAAGTTAGAGACCTTATGATGTTGAATTATCTTTGTTCTTGTTTAGTGAACAAGGATGGGCAGGGGAGGACATTTGAAGATGCCATGATGCACAAGAGGGCCGTTCCCAAGAAGAAAGAACCCAGGAGGCACACATTGGCCAATGGAATTGATTATAACATGGTATGATACTTTGTGATTTTTTCATATTGTACAGATCTGTAGAAATACAGCTTGAAATCGATGGAAGCAATTACACAAAAGCCCTCTCTCTCTCTCTCTCTCTCTCTCTCTCTCTCTCTCTCTCTCAAACTGAACTAAGAAGGTGTAAGATGTCAATAATAATAATAATTATGAGGAGAATCTTTCAACCAAATCTCATATTCTTTTTTATTCTCTCTGTGTTGGAAATCTCTAACACTGGTTTTTTGACTGACAGCCCATATCCTAATTTTCCCACTTGAAAGCCAGACACTGAATGCAAGTGCAGTCATTGAATTGGAAAATTTTCCCCAACAATGGCCCAGTAGGAAAATTTAGGCCCATTTGCTGGATTAAAACCCCTATTAGTACCGTAGTGCCACGTGAAGTCTGAAATAACTAAAGGAGGAAAACTGATTTAATTTTTGACAGTTTTCCTCTAAAATTTTATAAAGCAAGTTTTTTTTTTTAAATTGAAAATATAGGCATGTTGGCCTATTTGAAATAACTTTGTTGTAACACAATTCTTCTAACCAAGGAAAAAAAACTACAGAATGGGCATCTTACAAATTCATTGTGAAATTTAAGAATTTATGGTACATAAACATTTTGGACTTATTAGAATAGGGTGCACATGTCTGCCTTAGTCAATATTAGGTTGGTCCACCATGTTTCAACAGCTATATCTAAGGCAGAGAGGTGCACAAGATGAACTCTTGGGTTAAGGTAGTGTGTTTTCTTGCAACATATTTGAATTATTTGATTTAGATTTATAATTCCTGTATGATGAATTTATTTGTGTGACTTTTCCCAATTTGCTGAAGGAAGAAGGCTATGCTTTTGTTTGGATTTTTAATAAGTTAAGACTAGATTTGGACTAAAACCCTATTGTGAAACAAGGCCCAACTGTATCTAGCAATGGAAGCAAGAGCATGATTTGATCCAGGATTCAATTGTGCCAAGTTCAATTTTCAGAATCAAGCTTTAATCTAAAAAGGGTACCAAGACTGCAATAGCTTTAAAGATTTTAAAACCATGTACTATAATTTTACCATATAACTTTCCAGCTTTTATGCAAAATATCTGAAAGGATTATGGTGCAGTACTTTGGAATCTCGATTATGTCTATATTTCTACCAATTATTTTACCAATTAGTATTTAATGGTCAAACAAAATTGCCCAAAATTGTTTTTATTTATGGCTGATTTGCCAGTAAAATGTTTCCAACAGTTTGGTGAGTTTTTTTCCAAGAGTTCGAGATTTCTCCAACCTAATCATTCAACTTTATTAAATTCCTAAATCTTTGCTCCAATTTCCAATTTTTTAGCTAAAGCGTATGAAGCAGTTGGAGCAGGAGCGTGATGTGTTACTACAGGGTCTGGAGGCCGTGGATAAAGCCAGGGAATGGTACCATAATCAGTTGATAGCTGTACAGGAAAAACAGAAGTACCTGGGGAAATCTACTGCTCAGTCTGTGAGTATTGTATACAGCATAGACCTTAGGTTAATAACTATCACTGAAAAGTTAAGTTAATGGCTCTTTGGCATGCAATTCTTGAGTTTAACTTGCCTCTTTCTCCATTTCAAAGCTCGACCTATTTTAAATGTGTACTACTATGCAGGGTGAAGATTTTTTCTTTTAACTTGTCAAATTTAGCATGGAATGGTTGGCCTGGATTTTTGGTAAATGAAACAATGAGTCACAGGTGTGAAACATGCCATGCTATGTTAGATGCAACTTTCTCAATTGTTCATTTTAGTGATTACCTCTGCCAATAGCAAATAATTTAATAATTTTTTTGTAAACATAGATTTTAGTTTGTTTTATTTCTGAATTTAGATAACAAATGTTATGGATTTTCTGTCTAGGGTGGATCACAGTGATATGATAAAGCGCAGTGTGAATGAACTAATGTATCATTTTGAACAATATGTTACCTCGAGTACCAGGTGTGCTCTCTGGACATTCTAAATGCCATTCTGGTGTAGCCTGGCAATTTTTTCCTCTTAGCCAAATCACTACTTTTTCATCACATTTTTTCAAATGTTTTAAATTTGATTTAAACAAGTGAAATCAACCCTATTTTGATTATCCAGTGCAAGCATTTGGCTAATTCAGCAAGTGTTAGGGCTACACCAGACATTGGCTGGTAGACAGTGTGTTAGTTGAGCTTTATATGCAGGATACATCTGATGCATTTATACTTAAATATAAACATTGTCATTTCACGTTAAAACTGGATTTAGAAATAATAGGAAATATAATTTTTGACAATTCTAGGATTACTCCTTGGAGGCCAACCAAGAGAGGATGAATTTCCAGATGGCCAGGATATATGAAGTCAATCAGCAACTCAAGGCCCTGATTGACAGCTCAGAAAAGGTGAAAGATTATGGCTTCATGTACTCACAAATACATATTCTCTCTCTCAAACATATGCACATTACTTGCAATGTTTCTTAGTAAAATTGATTCTCATTAAGTATGTGAAATAAATGAAAAACTTACTTTGCATAGTTTCGCAAGTTAGCCTAACGCTACATATGTATAAAAGACAAATGTGACATAAGTCAAGCAATTTTACCTCTCCCGTGACCACTGAACATTGAGGCATGTAGTGATGATAACTGATGTAAAGATTATGATTGATTTTGTCTTCTATTTCACTAGGGTTTTCCTCTACACATGAACCTGGCTGTTGGTGACAGATTGCCACGTACAACATCTACGTCATCTGAACAAGAACAGCATGTGACGCAGATGGTGAAGGCCCAGAACAGGATGCTTACCACAGTAAGTTCCTGTGTGTGTGCACAAACCTATGCCTACATGTGCATTACAAACATGATATATGTGTACATAGCATATACCAATATGTGTGTATATACTTATATGCTCATATACCGGTACACAATGGACAGGTGCATCTGTGATTTTGTCATTCTTTGTAAATTTACTTCACTGAACAGATTTTGAGGCAGCATTAAACAGACTATATAATGTTAAACAATCGGAGAAGACTAGGGAGGCAATATGCATTTAAGGTCATATAATAATATATTGGATGTGGACATAAATTTATCAGCAATAAAAGATTGAATATGTATTCAGTATCAGCACAGGATTTTAACCTACACGTAATTAAAATGTTTTCCTTTTCCAGGAAATTTCTCAGAAAAGTGACAGAATCACACAGTTGGAGAGAGAAAAGGCCAGTCTCATACGTGAACTATTTGAGGCAAGATCGAAAGGAGCTAAGAATGTCAACAGTGAAGACACCACATTCATGTAATCACCCATTTGAAGATTAAGAACATAATTCGGTTTAAAAATTGAACTACTCAGGTTGTGAACTGCAGCCGAGAAGAACTGAATGAAAAGCAGAAAAAAACTTTATTAGTTGTAAGAATTTACAGTACATTTCCTAACCCACTCTAACATATTTTTTGTCCATTTTTAACAATCAACCCTTTAAGTTCCTTTTTTTTCTGCAAATTTGATTTGAAATTGAATTTGTTACTGGTGTAATTTTAGATGCCATCAAGGTGTTTTTATGGTGCAGACTTTGTACATTAAATGACCGTCATCTGAGTTTTAACTTATTTGGATTTTTTTTTATAAAAGTGGGGCCAACAGTGTAAATATATTAAGGCATGATAACTCTTAGAGAATGTAAGTAATATTTTAACCAGAAAATTAAATATATGACAAGAATTTTATCAAAATGCTGATGAGATAATCAGCTTTTTTTGTACAAATTTGTTCTAGTCAGCATTGACCTGTACAAAAACTATACATGGCAGTATTATGTGTTTATGATAGCTGAAATGCAGCTTAATCATGCACTCATATTGTGAAATTACTAAAATGCGTGAATAATTGTCTGAAACCAAACTTCTTCACTATCAATGTTTGCAAGTGGGTTAAATATGTAAGTTTGAGAGACTTAGTCTAGTAATATTAGTTAACTTGGTTAAATAAAAATTGTGTTGCCAAATTTTCTTCCTTTTGTGTCAAGGGCTGAAGGAGTAATTAAAAATGTGCCTCACCCATTCTCTGCATCCAGGATCTGAGAACTTGTATCTTTAAAAGAGGTTTTATATCGAGACCCATTGCTGCAATTTCAAGGGTGATCTCATGTTTTTGTGAGTTTTATTGGTCATTTGATTTTATGCCTCATATTTTGAATTGTTCTTACACTGATTGAAAATGAAAACATTTTTATTTTTATGCTCTAATTTGCTTCAAATTTGACCTCTGCTTTGTAAATACCCTGCATCATATGAGGGAAATACAATAACTTTTATGCAGAACATGGTTTGTTGAACATGTATAAGACTGTCATTGGCACATTTGTACATTTCTAGGCATACTGCACATCTTTTATGACTAATTACTGGAGACCTCAACTATGATAATGGCTTTTTTGTTTTATGCAAGCTCTGTTATATGCATATACAGATCTTTGTTGTTTGATTGGGTCAGGATTTCAGATTCAGTATGCTATAGGTTTGCGTCCAAATTTATGCAAGATCTGTATGTGCATTTAAAAAGAAAAATAAGACATATCAAGCCAGGACAGCCAAACTCTGTGAGAAGAGGTTGGGTGGTACATTATCTGATGTGTTTATCATGTTGCTGCATTTAATCATTTTTTTTTCAAGTACTATGCAATGAGAAATATATCTAAATTTTATCATTATCATTTTTCACTGAAGTTTGCAAAATGTGCTATATTAGTCTCTTTAAACTTGGTCTCGAATGGTTTGAATCCTTGAGTGTGTGTTTGTATTGAGGATTGGCAGGGGTTGTGCAGTCCATGTAAGCTTTGTTTTTCCCCCTCACATAGTTACATCAAAAACAATAGCATTCGGCCTAACAACACCCTTGTGAAATTGGTAGCTAAGCTCCTGGCTCATTGTGTGCGTGACTTTTTCAAATTGGCATGAGATTACTGTATTTCTTTAAAGTGAAATTACTTCTTTAAAAATAGTTTTTGAATGTGACTGTGTGTACATTGTGGTAGGAGAGAAAGGTGTTGGGCCTTGAAGCAATGAGTTGGTACTTTTGCCTTTACTTTGATTAAATGATGTGTTGAATCCATGAAATCCCTCCATGCCTGTTAAATTGTGATTGTTCATGGAATTCCATAGGATTTGAATTTCCACTTTGTGAACTATGTCAGGTGATGTTTTATGGGCTCAGATAAATTTTGTTTATTTAAAAATGAATTAGGAGAATGATTCATTCAGGTGCCATTACAGTTCCTGTGAGTTTGTTTTATTACATATCATGTGAGAATATTTTTTAATAATCTGAAATATTTTATTCTTTTCATCATAAATTCAAATGTCATTGCATAATGAAACATTTTGGACCATATTGTGTTATGGTTGGTAATTTTAGAATATTTTGAGATGTGAAAGTAGTGTACAAATGCATTTTCAGTCAAACAAAGCCACATAACTTTTCATAAACTGATGCAAATTTATTTTAGAAGTTATATAAGGAGATGTTAATATATATCATAAAGTAGTGAAAATACTTTTATTGCACATTAAAAAGGTTTTTACTTACGTAACAATGTTCGTTTTATTGATTTATTTTTTATTATTTCAGAAATTGTTCTACAACTTATTTTCCACGTGATTCAAAATGAAACTTAGGACAAAAGATGGTGGCATTCCAAAATTGCATAAAACGTATCTAAATAGCACCAATAATTTTGACAATTCACATAAATATAAGGCTGCGTTCACATGAAAAATCTATTTTCTAAAAATCTATTTGCGGTATCTTGTGATCACGGTCTGTGCCCTGAATACCCCACGGCGTAATTACAGGCAGCGCGAGCCAGTTACTTTCAAAGCTGTAATTAATTCTCGGCGCTGCCAGTAATTACGCCGTGGGGTATTCAGGGCACAGACCGTGATCACAAGATACCGCAAATAGATTTTTAGAAAATAGATTTTTCATGTGAACGCAGCCTTAGCAGCCTGTTGTGCGTACAATATATATAGAGGATCTCCACAATAATTGTCCACTTAGTCGATGCCAACTCCCCAAAAACATGCCATATCTGATATACAGTAATTTGCATAACAAGAAGTCCTTCAGCCTACTGCAAATTGGCTTCTTGACTGGTCACTTGAAAGCTGGTAGAGGACTCAAGAACGGTGTGGTCAGGGCCTCATTCATAGTAAAACTATCGTTCGTCGTAGAACGATGATACTCCGCCGGTGTAACGAAACTGAGGGTCCTTGTAACAGAAAGTCCACCCTCCACATAGTTATCGGATAGTCTGTCTTAAGTGGGTCAAAATCTAGGGCGAGGCTCACCTGTATAAATGAAAATGAAGCGGACTCTCTATCATGGGGGACTCTTTGTCACGTTACACCGGGACTCTCGCTCAATGCAATGAGATTAACAAATTAACACGTCACCTCTTGGCGTTGAGTCGAACGCAGAAAGGCTGATAATACAAGTATGTTGGAAACAAGAGGATAAAAATCATATAACAGGTGCCGCACAGGTAGTAGAAGTACTACCTCTCATATAAAAGTTGGAAGGAGTGGGAAAAGTCATGGCAGAGCTGCAAGTAAGAGGAGAACAATATGGCGTTTATTCTCTGAGTGAAATACCACCTGTCTCCCTTTTCACACACACAGACACACAAATAATAATAATAATAATAATAATAATAATAATAATAATAATAAACTATAAGTCAAATTTTGATTGTCGACTAAAATTTGGTTCCCTAAAAATTACTACACCTGAAAAATTTACATGAAATTAATTTTGATCTGGGCAAAAAAGCAGTGAAAAACAACAAACCACAAGTGTGTGAAATTAATCTTTTTATTGTTAAATCTTTTCTTTATTTATCTGGTATTTTGAAAAATCTTCATTGAATGGATGCCTTATATTTGAAAGGCATCATGTCTTACCCCAAAAAGTGCAGAACAAGTGCAATGAAATAATTTTGCAACACACGACAGAGCAGAGGCGGATTTGGGGGGGGGGGGGGGGGGGGCCAGGGGGGTTAACCCCCCCCCCCTTCTTTTTTTTAAAAAAC